TATATATATATATATATATATATATATATATATATATATATAAATAATTCCATTCAAACTCTATTACCTGTGACTGAATCCCTGGAAGACCCATGAGATGCTCAACTATTAAAAAACAGAATTTCAGTTTAGAAATTGATAACAGGAATGAGAATGGTAAATTAGTTAAGTTTAGGTAAACATGTACCTAAGGAAGCAAAGTAGTTTACCTTATTTGTAATAGAGGTGAATTTTGGAGTTTCTGCTTAATTTTCCTGAAATATTTTAGTCTCTTCTAACAATTTTTTAGATTTATACTTATGTTACTTGAACTTCTAATTATGTGAATATAGCAACTGGCTGACTGGATAGGAAGAAGAAAGAGGTTTCACAGGAAGGAGGAGGGTACCAGAGGTAATAGATTGTGAATATATTCAAAATATGTATTGTACACACGCACATACATATATATAATATATATATACATATATATATATTATATATATATGCAACAGTCAAACTGAAGAAAATATTCTGGTGGGAGGCATGATTAATATAATTGTTTTCTTAACCCTGAACTGACTCTTTCAAGCTGCTTTCTGACTTCCATATGCACATTGTGGAATGCACCGCCCTCATTTCCCACATAAATAATTTCTTAGACCTGTAAATAGATGATATGAAGGATAAAATCATGGGTGACCTTGCTACTAATCATTTGTCCAATAAATAAAACCATGTTCACCAACCACGACAAGGTCTGGTGATTAGGTTGTAAAACACGGTAGAGATGGTCTTAAGCTGTTTATCAAAATGTTTCATATTATATTTAAAGCTTCAATCAATCTAATATTTTGAACAGTCATGATCACTCTGCTCAGTGTATTTCTCTGGTAGTGAGATTGTTGTTTTATGATACATCTACCTAAGATTGCTATGGAATAATCCTCTTGTACACTGTAAAGTTTTGTCACCAGAATTGGTTTAACAAAACGCTGATTGGCGTAGCCTGGCAGGAAGTATAGGCAGGGTGACTAAACCAAGAATACTAGGAAGAGGTAGGTCAGAGTCTAGAGTCGCCAGCCAGATGCAGAGGAAGCAAGATGAGAACAACGTTCTGAGAAAAGGTACCAAGCCAAGTGGCTAAACATAGATAAGAATTATGGATCTCTGCATCTGCTTCCATCAGTTACTGTGTGAAGACTCTCTGATGCCAGTTAGGGTATGGGATTGACTAGGCCCTCTGCATAAGCAAGACAGTTATGTACCTTTGTCTGTTTAAGGGACACCCCCGGTAGTAGGATCAGGACCTATCCCTGGTGCATGAGCTGGCTTATGGAGCTCATTACTTATGGTGGGACACCTTGCAGAGCCTGACACAGGGTGAGGGGCTTGGATATACCTCAACTGAATGTAGCAGGCTTTGCTGACTTCCCACAGGAAGCCTTAACTTTTCAGAGTAGGGAATGGGAGTAAGTTGGGGGAGGGGGATGTTGGGAGGGAACAGGAGGAAGGAAGAGAGGAAGATCTGTGGTTGGAATGTAAAATGAATAGAAAATTTCTTAATAAAGAACAAAAAATAATTATGGGTAATTTAAGTGTAAGAACTCGTTAGTAATATGCCTGAACTACTGGCCAAGGATTTATACTTTATATTAAGCCTCTGAGTGATTATTTGGAAAGCATCTGCTAGTATGTAGGAGTTATTAGTGGGACAGAAACTTCCACCTACATAAAACAGTAGAAAATTGTGTGTGTGTGTGTGTGTGTGTGTGTGTATAATTTTCTACTATATATATTTTCTTTTCTTTCTTTCCTTTTTTTTTTTGGTTTTTTGAGGCAGCGGTGCTTTTATTTATTTCTCTCCACATTATTTTGTTGTTGTTGTTGTTTTAAGACAGGGTTTCTCTGTGTAGTTTTGGTGACTGTCGTGGATCTCACTCTATAGACCAGGCTGGCCTCGAACTCATAGAGATCTGCCTACTCTGCCTCTTGAGTGCTGGAATTAAAGGCATGCACCACCACTGCCCAGCATATATTTTCTATTATATATAATTTCTATCATGTTAATTACTACTCTATAATAATTTTATTTGAGGTGATATTTTCCAAACTAAATATAACTGTGAGCATATTTATACCGATGTTAGAAATGAAAAATTAATTCTTAATCAAACATTTGTGTTTATAATTTTGCCCATTGAAATATCTATAGGATTATATTTCCTATCACCCAGAATTTTATAGATGGTATGTAACACAGTAATCTTATATTAACATATATTGTTTCCATGGAAGTAGATGAAGAGATCCACACCCAAGCACTAGCCTGAGCTCCTGGAGTCTTGCTGAAGAAAGAGAGGAGGGATTGTAGGAGCTAAGGGGATCCTGATGTGGAACCCACAGAGACCGTTGACCTGAGCCCACGGGAGCTCATGGACTCCATACCAAAAGTTGAGAAGCCTGAATAGGACCAACTTTGACCCTGTGCATGTGTGTGACAGTTGTGTAGCTTGGTTTCTCTGTAAGGCTTCTAGCAGTGAGATCAGGGCCTGTCCCTGGTGCTTAGCTGGATTTTGGTAAACTGTTCCCCATGCTGAATTTACCTTTCCCAGCCTTGATGCAAGGGAAGAAATTTGGTTCTGCTTCAACTTGACTTGCCATGCTTTGTTCAAGCCCATGGGAGGTCTGCCCCTTTAGGAATGGAAATAGAGAAGGGTAGAGGGGAAGCGGGGAGCAGGGAATAGGAGGAGAGGAGGGAGAGGGAAACTGTGGTAGGTATGTAAAATAAATAAAAAAAATTCTTATTTAAATTAATTACATAAATACTTTTTCATTACAAAAAACATATTCTTTTCTTTAGTAAGTTTAATATATATACTCAACTTTAGTATATATACATATATGCATATATATATGTATGTTTAGTTTGTATGGGGAATGGGGGAGGCACATGGCACAACATGTGTGTGGAGGCCAGAGGATAATTCTGGACTTGGTCTTCTTCTTCCATAGTGTAGAAGTTAGAGTGAGGTCATCAGGGTTAGTGGAAAGCACCTTTCCTCACTGAAACAGCTTTCCAGTGAACAGATTTCTTGTTTTTTTATTATTATTATTGTTGTTGTTGTTTTACTATTGAGAGAAGTAGATCATTTACTAAATCCTGTCAACATCCTAAAGCCTGTACTTTCAGATTAGGAAAAGAAACATTGCAAATATGATTAAAGCTATGGACATTAATATACAAAATATGTTCAAAGACTATTAAAGCATTCATACTGTAATTACACTAACAACGAAAAGAAAAGAATTTTCCAGGATCAGTACACAAAAATGAGGAAACAATCTTATCCTGCCTCAGAGCTAGTAAGGAATTAGAGACTGTCCTGTAAACACTAGGGACAGGATTTGGCCAGCAAACTGGATGAAGTTAGAAGTCGATGTTTCTCTGCAGTCCCCCAGAGTACAAATGCATCTGCTGAAATTTGATTGCAGCCTTCTGAAAACCTAAGCAGATGATCCAGACAAGCCCACTGAAAATTCTGACTTATGTAACTTAGATTTTTTAAATGTATATTTATTAGCCATCAAATGTGTGGTGATTCCAGTGGAGGCAACAGAAACCTTACAGAAATTGTTTGTAAACTGCAGTCAATTAGTAATGAGCCAATAAGCACTGAAACTGCCCAAACTTCTTTCCCATCATTTAGATTGGCAATGATTAATAATAATTCCATTCATGATTAACCAAAATCCTTTTAGAAAAAAATTGGTGACAATATTAATTTGTCATGGTTCCCAGTAGACCAATTTAATGTGTAAAGATTAAAATTTATATAACATTTGATTTGATGCAGAGCCACTGACAGCTGAAAGACATGCACAAAATGTGCTGAGTTTTAGGACACACTTTTCTGCTATATGAGCAGAATAGTTGCGATTGTTTGAAAGCCCTTTCGTGTATACTGGTGCAAAAGGCATCCAGAAATTTTCACACTCTGTGTTTATTGCTACAGAATAATACCCCGAGTGTATCTTGAATGAAATTAATGAAGGTGCTAAGGATATCTGTGTTATTGTCAACTTTATACTAGCATGAATCTACCACATATTAGAGATGCTGACATTGTCTTGGAGGTATTTAATGATGTGTCTGCCGTAATTCTCTGGGAGGGAGATTAGGGAACTGAGTTGGGTTAGAGAGGCAACAGTTTATTATTATTTTGCACTGTTTAAATTTTACCATATGTCTATACAACATTTTAAGGTTACAATAATTAATAGCAATCCCTTGAATATTTAGAAGGATTTGAAAAGGTCCTATCACTGTTATCTGGACTGTATTGGGTTAAAGCATCTGAGCACGAAACATTTGGTTTCTTCTTATATGACACATCTTGCTGCACTGACTTTTGGCTCCTTCACTTTTGTCTTAGTATCTTTGATACTAGTACTGAACTCTCTGCACTTCTGGTTATAGTCACTTCTTTACTGAATTTAACTTTCCTGTTTTCTTAACTCTACCCTCTACATTTGATGAATAAAGATGAATAGAATAATATCATAATTTATCATTTATAGTTTTTCATGCAATTTATTGAAAATAAACATTATTTTTCAGGATTTTTGATACAGTGTATGTCTCCTTGTTTACTACTTCCAACCTGCTGTCTGTTTCTAAGGGTTAGAGTTGCATCTCCCAGGAATTTCAATATCCAATATTTGGTACTATGCCGTCAACTCTTACACTTCAAAATGTAACATGAGAGTCATGTGATAGAGTTCTCTTGTCATCTAGAGTAAGCAATTCATTTTATTTTGACCCTTTTTCTATCCATTAATATTGGCAACATTAAACTTTCTTTTATGCCTACATCATAGGGGACAATATAATGTAGAGCCTTCATAAGTTAAATCTTTTAGTGCATGTGAATAAATTTTGGCTCATTAGATGATACAGAATACCACAACAAATTATCTCATGTGATTACTATCAATTCCTCTGTGTGTGTGTGTGTTTGTGTGTGTGTGTGTGTGTGTGTGTGTGTGTGTGTGTGTGTGTGTGTGTACTTTATTGGTAAATTCACCTGTGTGTATAATCTGGATGTAGTGCTCTTTAACCACTAAGGGATGGGGGATGAGAACATAAGGAAATGGGTTGGTCAAGCTGGAACAGGGAAGGAGTGGGAGAGCAATGAAAGAGATACTATGACAGAGGGAGACATCATGAAGATAGGGAGAAACAGGGTTCCAGGGAAGTTCCCAGGAATCCATAAGGATGACCCCAGCTTAGACTACTAGCAATAGTGGAGAGGGTGTCTGAACTGTCTTACCCCAATAATCAGATCAGTGAATACCCTAACTGTCATCATCGAGCCTTCATCCAGTAACTGATGGAAGCAGATGCAGAGATCCATAGACAAACACCAGGCCGAGCTCCAGGAGTCCAGTCAATGACAGAGAAAAGGGATTCTATGAGCAAGGGACATCAAGATCATGATGGGGAAACCTACAGAGACAACCAAACCAAACTAGTGGGAACTCATGAAATTTAGACCAACACCTGTGGAGCCTCCACAGGACTGGACCAGGCCCTCTGCATAAGTGAAACAGTTGTGTAGCTTGATCTGTTTAAGGGGCCCACTCTCAGTAGGACCAAGATCCATCCCTGGTGCATGAGCTGGCTTTTTGGAGCCCACTAACTATGGCGGTGTGGGTGGAGGGAGGAGGGAGATCTGTGATTGGTATATAAAACGAATACAAAATTTTCTTTATAAAGTAATCTGGATGTAAAGTAATCTGGAAGACATCAATGTCTTCCTCTCTTGCCCTCCAACAAATGTTTTGAAATAAGGTTTCTCACATGAGTTGTAACTCACTGTTTTGGCTTTCCTGGCTGGACAACAACCTCCTGTTATCTATCTTTACACTTCTGGCTTAGTACCCTCCATCCCCTGCCTTTACATAGATGCTTTAGGTCCTATCCAAATATGAATGCTTGCATGTGATTTGATCCCTGTAAGTTTTCTCATCAGTCCTTATGAATTCCTTTCAAAAGGTATTATAAACATACAGTGTTCTCCAAAATAAAATACATAGTATATTATTTTGTAAACTCTGCATAGCTTACATATTTCTAGTATTTAAGATTGACTTTTTTTATGCTTACAAGTGTCTGTCTTCATGTTTGTATGTTTATGAAATGTATGCCTGTTGATAGTGGAGCCTAGAATAGGGTGCAAGATCCCCTGGAACTAGAGGTAAGGGCTGTTGCAAACTGCCATCCTGTGCTGGCAATCACACCTGAGTCCTCTGAAAAAGCTGTAAGTTCTCTTAACCACTGAGCCATTTCCCAGCCACACTGTTCAGTTCAATAATGTAACATTTTATGGTTCCTCAGATACCTATGTACAGATGTGTTTCTTTATATAAGATTTCTACTATTAATTATCTAGAAAATTTCCATTTTTATGATAAAGTAATTCTACATGCCTTTTGTTTCCTAAAAGTAAAAATCTTGAACTTAAAAAAGAAAAACAAAACTTATTTTCATCTTGTAACTCAACAACCTTGAAGAAATTTTTGTGACATCTTATATGCTAGTGAGATGTGTGCCTGTTTTTCTTCTGTCAGACTTTTAGAATGTATATACTATAGACTTATGTAATATTGTAATTTTTGTTCTCTGTCTTATTGTAAGGCACATGCTTCAGAACACATGAACATGAACACTTGTGAGTATACATATGAACTAGTTTTATATAGCAAATGTATCTTTCTAGTATATTTTGAAGACTGAAATGCTGGAGTGGCAGAGAAATAATGACTTATGTTGTGGGATGACGGTTATGCATATTCATATGATATATTTCTCATGGTACATATAGATCTACTGCATAGAAGATAACGAAGAGGAGAAGACACAGGATATGCTAAGTTAAGTACTAGAAAGAACTTTGCATGACAATATATTATCCTATATTACCTTGAAATATTGATTCATTTGTGTTAATTAATCTTAGGGTTGGTTTCCTTATGTATATTTTCTGTTATTTTGTATTTTCTATAATAATAGTGAAACAGAACAACAGCAAATATTTCATAAAACATATACACAGTGAGGGATATAATGATTTCTCTGTGTCATTATTAAATTGAGCATAAAAAAATAGGGTCTCCATCAGGACCTTTTTAACTAGTGAGAGATTGCTGAAATCGTCACCCTTAATAAATAGTGTTTCCTATTCTACCTCATTGGAAACATGTTTTTATTATTTGCATTATTTTTGTCTTTATGTGTGTTTTGCGTGAATGTTGTTATATTTCTGTGAAACACACAAGTCCTTAATATCCGTGGAGGCCAGAGGGGAGAATCGTTTCCTCTGAAAAGGGAATCTCAGGTGATTGTGACTTGCCATGTGAGCAAAGAGTGACCAGGGCTCTTAATCATCAATCTCTCTAGTCCCTGGAGAGTATTTTAATGTCATAATTATATCATACACTTTCCATTAGTTTCCACAGGCCTTCATGTGAGACATTGATAGATGTTTATGAGTTGTTACTAATTCCCCAATCTCTGATGTGGCCTAATACAGAGGTTGAAAATTGATTTGTGTTTCTGTTATGTACATTAGGAACAACACATAGAATATTACCCTTCTTACCTGTTTTTCAAATTCTTTATTCCAAAACTGAGGTCAGACTTTGTTTTCAGTAGAGTCCATCCAGGCATGAATTTCTCTTTTGATAATCAGAGTTTATTTAAACATGTTTGAATAAAGAATATTCTGTTTCTGTTCCCTCTGGATGGAGGAAAAAGGCTCAAGAGCCATAGGAAACTTGCCAAAAACCTAAAAGATCTGCAAGGCCCCACGTTGAAGGTTATACAGTCAGTAAGCAATTGTTGAGGAAAGGAGATTGCCTAGAGTTGTTTTAAGTGATACAAAGAAATCAAGGAGCCAGGCGGTGGTGGTGCACGCCTTTAATCCCAGCACTCGAGAGGCAGAGGCAGGTGGATCTTTGTGAGTTCAAGGCCAGCCTGGTCTCCAAAGTGAGTTCCAGGAAAGGTGCAAAGCTACACAGAGAAACCCTGTCTCAAAAACAAACAAACAAACAAACAAAAAAAAAAAACAAAAAAAAAAAAAAAAAAGAAGAAATCAAGGGATACACCATCACCACATCTGCTGTATGCTGTGTGTGGGATTGTTGCTTTTATTTTGTTGTTGGATTTTTATCATATCTACCTGTCACCACAAGTAACCCCTGAGTCATGCCCCTGTAAAAAAATCTCAATGAGCTCATTGACTTATGATTTTCGGCTTGACAATATGTTTTCTACATTCTGCTGTTGCTCCTTTTTAGATGGTGAGTAGAAATGTAGACACTCCAGGAAAAACACCTCAGCAAATAAAAATATCTTAATTTTAAGTCCATAACCTCACTCAAGGAAGGAAAAACACCAACATGTTTATATTAGAGGAGAAATAGTCATAAAATTAAAAAGACTTGATGAAGGTATTAGCGTTCAATTACATTCAAGAAAACTACACATTGTCTCTTGGCTGGCCCATCCTAATATTGTGCTTTGCTTTGTTTCTGCTCGGTTCAGCTGTGTTCTTGTACAAAACCAATGAGATCAGGAATACCATGTGCTTGCAAGAACTTTATCATTAATCTTTTATTATAATTCCAGATTTCTCATCTACACTACTTAAAATTCTCCTCAAGTTTAGCATCCTCAGAAATAGTTCCCTTAAGCAGGTAAGCTCTCTTCTGATACGTGCTCTAAATCATTGGTTGTAGTTCTCCGTTGCCAGAAAAGGATTTCTTCTGCACTTAGTTCTGAAGCCATCTAGATTATCTCTGGTTGTACTTTGAGAGCCGATTACATATTTTCTGGGTGTTTTGTTGCAGGAATGGCTTTACATATGTATTTTCCTTTAGAAGGAATAACAACATTTGATATCTAATCCATTACTTTGGTTGGAATGTTGTCGTTATGTTTATTTTTTAGAAATGATCAACTTTCTTGACCAAATGCTACAGCTTAATATATTTTGTTTTCTCACCAAGGCCAAACTGTTTGGATACATCAGTTGTGAACTATGAAATACGAGCTAGAATTATTTGCAGCACAGTTAGCATTGATTTTAGAATTTATTGAAACAGTTTCTGTCAGATGATAGGTATTTTTGTTGCAACAAAATTAATGTATTTCCATAATGTTTTGATAGATGAACATGTCTCTGGCAAAAGACACACTTTGAAAATTTGAATAAAATATCATAAAAGCTACCATTAGTCCTCACTTTTGTATCAGGGGATCTAGATATTACATGAAGGCATTTATTTGAAAAATATAACAGAATGCTTGAAGGGACTCTGTTAAAGTGTGGCACCTTCTTTATATCGCCTGTGCAATCTTCTCTAAGGTAATTAAGCTTAGAGAGATTTGCTTATATTATTTTCTGGTGCAATGGGAACATTTAAAAAGTTTTAATCATTTACCTTGAAACATGAGCAGACATTTGTAAAGAAAATAATAAAATATTTTAAAGCAATAACTAAATGCTACTAGACCAGATCAGTAACTAGGGATTGTGGGACAGTTTTACTTTGAACTTTTAGTATCTAGCATATACACATAAAATTTAAATTAATCACTGAAGAGTTTTATGTGGGGGTTATTTATAGAGTATGTAGAAAAGTAGCTGTATGTGGGGAAGATCATAGCAGCAATTTCGAGATAGAAGTCTGCAACAATTTCAAACACTCCCCAGATGACCCAAACCATCAGGTGACCAGAATGGGGGAACATCTAGGGTACAGGTGTGGGCACTAAGGCTTAGAATGTGCTTCAAATGCTTTCTGTAAGGAAATATTGTACCTATATACAGAGTCCTCTATATTCTGTATACTTTAGCAGAAAAATACGCATTAAATCCAGAGTACAAATGCACTTCCCTGAAGGAGCTTCCACAAAATCAAATCTGTGGAATCCAGATTAGTGTCCACACTCAAAACCCCTAAGACATTTTCATACAAGAAGTATTGTTTTTGCTAAAATAATGGTCCTTTTGGACTTTATTCCCCTCTCTGGCCCAGAAAGAAAAAAAAAGATTTAAAAAAAGTGCATCTGTTACTTACCCCCTAAAGAAAAATAACATGCCATTGAGGTTTTATCATATAGGAGTTTTCCACAGGTAGAATCCTTTAAGAGGTGATGTTATGTTAAGACCTGTGGGTTTTTTTTTTTTTTTTTTTGGTACCCAGTGTAAATGAAGAAATACATCTGGCAAGCAACATTTTAATCCCCAAATGCCCATAGGAGTTCTTGAGGGAAAATAGCTTATTGAGAGCCAATGTATGAATTTGGAAAGAGGAGTTGGATAAAGTGTAAATAGAAGGTGGCTGTTGTAAACAAAACACATCACCTGTGCCATTTGTTGCATTAAATTTTTAGCATTTGTACTGTGTGCTTTTCTGTTCTGCTTTTGAAAGCTGTTTTCATGGATTATCAGTGAGGCAATGGTACCCAGGGAAATATGTTCAGTTACAGTCCAGTGGGAATATGGGAAACCTTTACAACTTAGTCTGTGAAAATGTTAGTATTGAATGCTGGATTTTCCAGAAGCAGATGTTGAGATGATTTTGAGCAAGAAATCTTTATTAAAGAATATAACCTGTGAGGAAAAAAGGGAAGAAAACATATTAAGAAGAATATAAATACTGATGCAGTTGTGATAAATCATGACTTCATTAGCAGATAATAGCCAAATTAGGGTTACACATCAAAGTTGTTCACCCTGGGCTTAAATGGATGGGCCACTGTGACACACCTTAATTATTTGACAGACAGAACCTCCAGTCTTCACAGCCCCTCATATCTAAGGACTCTTGAAATCTGTTCTTTCTGTTGGATCAGATCACAAGATTACAAAAGTGGGAATGGTTCATGGTCATTCTGCATCTGGCAATGTGAAATTCCACCTTGCTGATCCAGGTTACATGTTCATGTCCACCACTGCAATGTGAAAATTCTATAATGGGTTTAAAGATAAGAATTTAGTCTACCCTTGCATATATAGTGCCTTAAAACTCTCCAATTGTGTCTTAATTCTCCAATCTCCCCATGGAAATTTCACTTGATTTTTTAACCAACACAAAAAGTATTGAATAAAATATATCAGAACTATTCTGCTTCCTGAATACCTAATCTAAACATGATTCTTGTTTTAAACCCAATATTTAGACATGCATCGAAATCAGAATGTTTCTTTATATCTCTAAATATGGCCAGCTTTATTATTTTTACGGTCTCTCATTTTCTCTGTTTTTATAGATGTATAATGTTGATCTCATATCTTTCAAGTTAAAAGATGGTAAAGGTGGAAAAAGAACAGGGACAAATAGCCAAACTAGTGGAAACACATGAACTGTGAACCAATAGCTGAGAAGCCCCCATAGAACTGGAGCAGGCCCTCTGGATAAGTGAGACAGTTGATTAACTTGAACTGTTTAGGGGGCCCCCAGGCAATGGTACCGGGACCTGTCCTTAGTGCATGAACTGGCTTTCTGGAACCTAGGGCCTATGCTGAGACATTTTGCTCAGCCTTGATGTAGGGAGGAGGAGACTGGACCTACCTCAACTGAATCTACCAGGCTGAGCTGAATCTCCAGGGGAGACCTTGCCTTGGAGGAGGTGGGAATGGGGGGAGGATTGGTGGGGGAAGGCTGGGAGGTGGGAGGAGGGAGGACAAGGGAATCCGTGGCTGATATGTAAAATTAAATTAATTATAAGATTTAAAAAAACATAAAAAGATGGTAAAGGTAATGAATTATTTTCTCTCTAATATAATTGAAACACTAACGTCATCATACTAAACAGAAAAATATTGCAATAGTAATGTGATAAATAATTCCAATGAAGAAAAAATTAAGCACAATATATTTGAAATTAAAGAGTACAGCAAATGATAAAATTGCATGTCATACATTTCATATCCATATCTCAATAAATCTTTTTCTTTAAGGAACAAAAAATATATATTTATTTTATAAACTGAGATCTTATTTTTTCTGGAGGCCATGGTTCTCTGCTTTCTATATTCTGATAAACAAAGCTTGACACTTAGCATATTTAGAATTCATATACTCAGGATTCATTCACCAAAAACTAATCAACAAAGAAAATATGAATTAAAAAAAAAAAGATCGCTAGCAGCTATGATGTCGACATTTTTTCCATGGCTCTCTTCAATCAGTTTTGACATTTCTTTGACCAGCCAGAGCCTTGATGAACCCTTCCGTTAGAGTTTTTACAGAAGTAGGGAAGCATGAAATTAATTTCCCCGAGTGCAGTAGCTCACAGATGCCAGCAGATCTCATAACTCAGTAATACTGGTAAATCCCTGAATTTGTTCTTCAGCTTCTCAAATTACTGTTGGTGTCATCACTCTCAGGGGTTTACTGAGTGAATTCCTTCAGGCTTTTTTAACTTCTAATATAGAAACACTGGATTACACATTCTCAAGAAGAAGAAAAAGACAGTTCATTTCACCATTGATTATGTTCATATGTCTTTATCTTTTTTATTGTTATTTTGATTGTTAATTATCTGATTGTACTCTTTTCTTAAGAAGGCCCGGTTGCCAAGCAAATACCCATTTACAGTGCATTGAAAATTGATTCACTTCCTGAATGTGGTTACGGTGACAGGAGACTGCAGATGTGACACAATTTTATCTCTGTTTAAAATCTTCAAGGATTTTCACATGAAGGGTTTCAAATAGGCTTTGTAGATTTCTCCTGTTTATATGGTTTATAAGTTGCCAGGTCACAATGTCTTACTCAATATGTAATGTTTTGCATAGAACATTTAACATTTAACACATGTCTATTGATCTATAAACAGTTTTTTCAATACTTCTTGTGAAGTCATTGTTTTGAGTATAAATCAATTTTCCAAAATAGTTATGAAATGGAAGAAAGAATATTGTAAAAGGAATTCTCCGATTGTTTTGTTTATAATTGATAATCTGCAAGTTGTTTGTAAAACTTCTAGCTAAGTGTTTCCTAATTTGATTTTGCTTGCATGCCCTCTACTGTGAAATTCTAACAGACATTTTATATCATCTAGTCATTTTCCTGGCCTTGAAAACCATGCCTAAACCACACTGGGAACATCAGATTCACTAGACAGAAAATCTGCAGTGAATCAAGCTATATCAGTTCCCAGTGCATGACAGAAGTACATGGGCTGCAAAAAGGTATTTAAATGTCAACTCATTCTAAGTACATCTCACAAAGGAAGCCTTCAGCTATTAACCAATTCTATATTCACCTTACATTCGCTTCCTTTTACGTTAATGCAAACATGAGAGGTATATGCTTAGAATTTGATGAGTCTCCACATTTATGCCAAGGCTTCTGGAGTAAGTCAATGTAGAACATGAAAATGAAAACTTAATACTTCGTTCTTTCATAGAGGTATAAGTAATAATTCAGAAGAATTGCTGTATCTATGTAATTCATAGTAGAAGTTATACAATTGTCATAGATTTATGGGATGCAGTGTTAATAATTCCATACTGTCCTGGTTTCTAAGAAAGCATACGTACATTGCATCTGTTAGTGCAAAGACATCGGTGCAGTGCTTTGCAAATCTCTTTGGATTCTGAAGAGTGTACATGGAACATGGCTCAAGTCTATTGATTACTTCATTTAACATTTGTCTATTGTAATTTAGTGCAGAGAAAACCGTCCTGTGAAAGACTGAAGCAATGATAATTTCAGCTTTATCCATTAAACAGAATGATAAAAGTGGTTTTGGTTTGTTGGAGGTGTTCCTTCTAGACAAGATATATTCTTGTACAAATTGTAAGAATAAAAACCTTCAAAATTTGTCCCATGATTATAATAAATTTAATCTATTTTTCTGAAGGAAATCAATATCATCTACAAGGACACATTTTCACATTTTAGAATATTCAAACGGATCTTGGTCAGAAACAAAGTCCTAGTTGTGGGATCATAAATAATTGCAATTAGTTCTACATATTGTGATCTGGGTGCTAGAAATAGAAGATCTGTCATGTCATTAGACTTGTTTGAAACTTCATTAACTTATTGTGTAAAGCAAACCTATGTACTAATTTAGTCCTGGGATTTTTCTGTGGCTGCACATTAGTGATGTACACAGGGTGGTCTGTTCACCCATCACTACCCTTTACTTAATAGCTCACATTAGAGAATACTGGATCACTATTAAGTTTATGAATAGCCAGATAAATCAAAGAAGAAATAGACTGACCAGAGAAGTGGGTAGGCTGACTGCATATCTTCACCTCTCTTTTCTTTCCTCCAAATACAATTCCTCAGTCTCATCTCCCAGTCCTATAGTGATCACCTGCTGTGGTATTCCCTAATTTCTGAACTGATCTACAGCAGATGAAACATCTTATACCCCAACATTCCTCCACATTCATGCCTTTATATCAGGTCCCAACTCAGCAGGCATTCCCTGGGAAGCTGCCACCCAAGCATGCCAGAGAAGCAAGTAGGCCAGCAAAGCACCATTCCTAACATCAGCTCCCGATGCCTAGAAACAAATTTTACCCATAACCCCCAGGGAATACAGAAGAATCCCAAAAGCATACCCTACTATGCAGCATATAGCAACCGGATTCTATTAAAAATCAGAAAGGGCAAAAGAATTCAATGGCCAAAGCACCCACCCAGTGAAGCCAAGATGAGCTATCAGCACCTAGAATTATAATCATGCCAAACACATATTCATAGAAACCACTGAAAAAAGCACACTCCGTAATGTACAGTACAGTATGACCATATTAGAGTCCAGCCCTACTCAGGACCCAGTGGTCCTGAGAAAATGCAGCATGGCTGAAGCACAAGACAAGGATCTTCACATAACCTTTATGAATATGAAATTAATGAATTCATTAAAGGAATCTGTAGAAACACAGACAGTAGAAAGAAAGAAAGAAAACAGTTCAAAAACCCCAAAGTGGAAATGCAATAAAAACACAAATTGAGGGAAATCTCTAGATAAAAAAAATTAGGAACTCAAGCCGGGCGGTGGTGGCGCACGCCTTTAATCCCAGCACTCGGGAGGCAGAGCCAGACGGATCTCTGTGAGTTCGAGGCCAGCCTGGACTACCAAGTGAGCTCCAGGAAAGGCGCAAAGCTACACAGAGAAACCCTGTCTCGAAAAACCAAAAAAAAAAAAAAAAAAAAAAAATTAGGAACTCAAATCAGAACCTCAAACAAACCTCACCAACAGAATACAAGAAATGGAAGAGAGAAGCTCAGACATTGGAGACAAGAAATGACTACTTTGGCCAAAGTAAATATTCAATCTGAAAAATCCTGCAGCAATCTGGGACACTGTGAAAAGATAAAATCTAAGACTAATAAGAACAGAGGAAGGAGAAAACATACATACTGTTTTTCAACAAAATCATATAAGAAAATTATCCAAACATAAAGAGGGAGGTGTGTATCAAGGTTATAGAAATGTAAAGTGTATAGACTACAAAACAGGTGGTAAAAAAAGAAATTCCTCTTGGCACATAACAATCAAATATGAAATGTAAAGAACAAAGAAAGAATATTAAAAGCTCAAGGAAAAGAGACCAAATAACATATAAAGAAAGACTTAATAGAAAATAGCACCCAACTTCTTGAAAGAGACACTAAAAGTTAGAAGGGCATAGGCAGATGTTCAACAAACTCAAATGGACCACAGATGCAAGCCAAGGCAAAAACATTCCATCTCAATAGATGGAAAAAAAATGTTCCAAGATAAAATAAAACGTAAGCAATATGTGTCTACAAATCCAACCATATAGAAGGTGATAAAAGGAAAACTCTACACCCAAGAAAAAACAAGGAACAAATAATTCCAGACCAGCCAACCAAAAAAGGGGAAACACACACACACACACACACACACACACACACACACACACACACACATACACGTGCGTGCGCATGCACACACAC